CTAATGCAAAGGGAGTTCTGCATTAGTAGGGACCACTACACCCAGCCCTCTTACACTGAACAATGAAAGGGCTGGGGCCGGGATTACACGCTCTCCGGAGAGGCAGAGAATATGTAAAATTGTCAAACGAGGTAATCTCTGGGGAGAATTAAGCAAACTACTCCAGTTTTGCAAATCTACAAGCTGCACATTCACAACTTTGAAATGAATTCACGGGAGGATACACTCTTAGCTTGATGCTTTGTCCCTGGCCGTTAAAGAACCCTGGGGAGGTGGGGGCAGCCCTTTGCGAGGAGCAAGTTTGTTTGTAAAAGAAGAGAAGAAAAAAACCCTTTGCCATTAATTTAGACAGAGCTACTTCTGCCTCTTTTGTAATAACTAATTATCTAGCTAGTGTAAGAGATTTCAATGGCCAAATGCAAAGCACTCACAAGCCCTGCCAGGCTAATCAAGACAATTTCCAAAACGCCAAAAACAGGAACTTCCTATAATAAATAACTTAGCACATTTACATCTCAAATTAGAACATCTGGAAGAAAAAGACTACGCCTGATGCCAAAACAGGCCTTATTGTATCCTGCCACTTTCCACCACCACCACCCCGCCTTGTTCGTTTTCTTTAGCCTTTCCTTAGAACAAACACTGATCCAGGTGCAAATGCTCAATTCACAAGGAATGCAGTGAACATAAAATTACTGTAGGTTTGGCTGCTAGTAAATCCCTGCTGTTACTCACCATTGGAAGTTGTGCTGGAGGCAACAGCTTTCTCACTGACATCTGTTCGACTGGAGCATTTCACGATGGAATTCTCCACTTTTTTCTTCTCCGTCGTGGTAGAGCTATGGGACTGCGCCTCCATGATGACTTCTCATTACTTCAGCTCTCCTTGTACTAATACCTGAATGAAACAAGAGAGCCATAAACTTTAAATACTATGTGAAAGCTTAGCCCCAAACCGCTCACACCTCTCACCTGAAGAAGAGCCTGCAGCACAATTGAACTAGCAGTCCACAGGCCATTTCTGGACACCCATCAAATCATATTTGCATGCATGAATTCCTGAGGAATTTACGGAAACACTAACACCAAAAATAAGTATGTTTGCCTTGAAAGAGAATCAACATCATAAACCGCTATGCCGCTTGTCCATTTTTTTTTAAAGGTTTTAAGGGACCCAGGGGAAAAAAGCCAGCATTTTTCTCCTATGTCCACAGCACTTGGGAACAGCGCAAAAGAAATCAACACAAACCTTCATGTTGACTATAGAAGCCAAATATTTAAATTTCAACATTCACACTATCCGAACACACTGTAGCAAGAATTGTCCTGTCTATCTCTACACCTTGTCCTACTCATGTAAACATCTCTCACTTTGTTTGTTCAGAAATCTAACTCAAATAAAAGTGCATTGGAGCAACACCCTGAAAACCACAGGGAAAGGCAAACATTATTGCTACTGGCAGATAATGATATCGCTTTCTTTTGCATGAAAACGCTGAAAATGGAAAACTCTGCAGAGGTGTGTGTCCAGTTATTCTGCCTTTCCTGGCTGTTCTCAGTGTCATCTCCAGCAATACATTCATTTTATACCCCGCAGATCACTTCTCCTTATTCTCAGAGCTTTGACATGCCTGATATAAACCCAAGCTTCCAAAAGGGTAACACTGCTTGTGCAGCAGGGTATCCACACCAAGCCCCGAGGCTGCCGGGATCTTGGGCTGTGAAGAACACGAACATTTCCAAGCACTGGTCTGCAGCTTAACTTGATCCACACCAGTCTGTCCACGTAAGCTTTTCACAAATCATCAATATTCAGCACACCCCATGCTTAGAACTGAAGTACCGGGGTACTTCGGTAGTTTGAACATGATCCTACACAACAACAACAAAAAATAATAATAAATAAATAGCGTGTTTTCAGCTCTGAGCAGCACTGCAGTCATTAGCTGAAGGGGTCTGAAACGGAAGGAAGTCGCGCTGTTCTAGAACAACATTTAAATGCATTAAAAAACCAAAGGCTTCAAAACAAGCCACAAAGTAAACTATTATGAAGTGTAATTACATTAGCAACCTGTTTCCCCAATTCTGACAGGCCAAAAAAAAAAAAAACCAAACCCAAAAAAACCCCACCCAAAACAAAAAAAAAAGGCTACAAAGCCAATTCATCACAAACACAGCTGTCTAGTAAACCTTCCCCTTCCCACCTCCCTAGTAGGAGCTCTTTTTAATAGCACAATAAAACACTCCAAAGCCTCATTGTTATACAGTAGGGATCAAAGAAGAGCCCAATCACTAAATGAATCATTATTTAGCTCAGCAGCACAGCCAGAGAATTGGACTAGATGTCAGAGACTCTCTGCCACCGACTTACTGGTCTAACCTTTGGCTAGGCGTTTTTCTTCCTTTGAGATCCTCTCTTGCTAAAAAGAGGAATAACAAAGCTCTGCCTGCCATGGCAAGAGTACTTATAAGAGTACTTTCAAGATCTACCTGTGAAAGTGCTATAAATATTCTTGTGATCTGTGAAACGACTTCCTACCAGAACATGAAGGGGAATGCCAGGTATCTTCAAATAGGAAGGAGAGATCTAACAATACTCAACTTGCAACAGCCCTCGCTTGCACCCAGCAATGCACAAATCTCCTTGAGGTGAGATCTCGTATGAGCTTTGTAAACGGCACCCTTCCAAATTTCTCATATGCTTCCTCCCCCTTTCCCTTTGGATGCAAGAGCATCCACGGCTTTGGTCAGTTATCATGTAGATCAGGCTTTTCAGCTCCTTGTGTTGGCAGAAATAAGGGGGGGATGCCGGCACTGCTGCCAACCTGTTCACCCCACACTGTGGGGTGATGCTTGTTTTCTCTGTACAGCCCCGACCACATAAATATCAGAATCTGCCTCTACCCAGCCCCCAGCCACTGCGTCAGCGAGTCCTTCAATGTACCCTCTTGTGCTCCGACTGCCCTCCTTCGAGTTATTTAATATACTCTAAAAAGAGTAATTTTGTCTGCTGCCTCTGAAGGAATTTTAAAAGCTATATATTTTCAGTTGTGGTTATTTTTCTTCTGTTTTGCCTTTTAAGGGCCAAGTCTGCTATTCAGATGGCATCTTCATTGACATCAAAGAGTTTGACTGTGTGAGAGCTTGGAGGGGGAAGCTGCAGAATTTGTCCCTCATTTTCTTCTGTCCTCGGTTCACAAGCCTGTTTCTTTTGGCTAGAAGTCATGAAAGGAAACAATTATGCTCCCTACTCAACTAGAAAGGAAGAAGCCACATAACTTTGCCCCGATTTCACAAAGCCAGCGGTGGCATGGAACGTTTGGGCAAAGGTCACAAAAACGGTGACAGGTATCTACAGCGGTCCCACCGCCTCCTGCCACACAGATGTCCATGCAGATATGAGCAACCTGCACCTCCTTCCCCTCTCCACCACGGCAGGACAGCCCCTCCACTACAACCTGATCCTACCACTGCTCAGAAAAGGAAGGAGATTAAGGTACTCTAGGAGTTAACGCAGCTTTAATCTCCTAAAAAAGCATCTTTGGGGCATCTGCAATTCAAGAGCAACATGTGGCTGCTCAGATGGGCATCCATCCACTCTCCTGGCTATTTTTTTTCCCCAACAACCTACCAATGAGATTTTTCTAGTGGCTTGGGGTTGTTTTTTTTTTTAATGGAAGGAAGACCAGGCAACATAATGCCACTTTTCCCACCATTTTCTGTCACTTTCCTGGTTTATGCTACCTAGTGTGGACAATGGAATAGAACAGAGGCCTGAAGTAGCAGCTTAAAGTGATTTTTTCGGTCAGAAAGTCTCAGAATTGGCCACAAATCGATATAAACATCTGCTCTTGGTACCTGTTCTGGTTCACGTCTGCTTAGTTTACATCCAGAAGGCTGCTTTTATTCATGTCAGCATGGAAGAGGGAACACCGCAAGAGTAAACTTTCTTACTCAGCTCTACACCCTGCGCCACGAGCCGATGGCCCCGGCGCTGCAGGTGTTTCCTCCCGCGCCTTCCTTTCTCCGCTCCCAACCCACGCACGTGTGGCAAGGGCGTCTGCAAGAATTCCAGCAGCTCCAGTGACACTCCAGTGCCCAATCAACTACATGGTGATATGCATGGCTGGGAGAGTAAGGAAAGCCAGGACAGACGGCAGGACTAATAATTAGAGGGATGTGTTTTGGTACATTTTGCCAAGCATGCCTGATAGGGAAGCAGTCAACTGGAAATCAATATGGTGCCCCAGAAAATCTTTTATTTCCTGAAGACGAACTTAAGCCCAAGTTGAAAACACAAACCAGACGCACACATCTTCTAGGCGCATTCTCCTCAATTTTGGCTGTGATTCTTATTTTTTCTCAGAAATTGTACTGAAATATGAGAATTGCAGTCTACCAAAAAAAAAAAAATGTCCAGGACAACGTGAAGATTTCTTTCCACTGGCTGCTATTTCCTATCAAAAAGCATTCTGAAAATCAGCCAGCCTGACATCGGCTTCACATTAAAATACAAAGTGGGTTTACATGATGGTGGACACGGCTCTTCGCAGCACTTGGGTCAGCGTCTTCCCCGGTCCTGCCCCCAGGCCCGAGAGTATTGAGCATGTACCTATTCCACAGCAAGGAGCCCTGCTTTCAAAAAAACAGAAAGCTAGTTTCTGTCGGCTATCCAGCATCTCCATGTGCATATGAATGGCAAGAAAATGCTGTAACAGTATATGGGCAAAAGCCTGAACTTCCATAGGTAAATAGAGGGATAAACATTCCTTCCTGAAAGCAAACATTCATGGCTTTTTCCCATTCAACCATGCTTGAACCTTTTGTAATTTCCCTAAAGCCTCAACCCACTGCACAATTAATTCCAGATCCCCATTTTAAACCTAATCTCTCTCAAAACAGCAACCTGCCTGCAGGTGTGTCTCAGTCTTTTAAAATCATAAATGTAAACTCTGACCAATTGAATATTAAATTGGAGAAATTTTAGGAACAAGCTACTGGAGTGAACTAGTTAAATGAGGAAAACCATCTCTTTTAAAAGGAGTGTCAACTAATGGCAGCATGTTGGAAACGTATTTAGAACAAAAAAATTCTTTCAAGCAATTTGAAATGATATAATTTCCGGTCCTTATGTATGCTGGTCATAAAACTGTGCCTCACAGTAGTAAAAATAATCATATGAATATACTAGAGAGAAAAAAAATCTTTTTGTTCATTTACCCCCAGTGCCCACTAACCAAAACCAGTGGAGCAGCCCTCTGTCTGGAAGAGCAGGAAACGTGAGCCCTTCTGAACATATACTTTGATTTTCCAAGAAATCTTCAGCTCTGTGCTCCTTTTCCTCTCTGAATTACTTTTTAAATCATTGCATTTACATTGAGCAAGTTAGTTTTAAAGACCAGATCATGCAAATCTTTATTCACATGAATAGACTCACTGACTTCACTGACTTCAACAAGACTATTCGCTTCAGTACAAATGCTTGGGCAGGAATCGGAACCTAAAATTCTCAATTTGCTTGTTAGACTGGTTTACATTTCTTGCGAACTTAACACTTCCTTCTGCCTTTACTTCTTACATTGTTCTTGAGGCAGCATCTTTTAATGTGTGGGGTTTTATTAAAAAAAATCCTTTCCCTGTTTTATTCGATGCTGCTGTAGTTGTATTCAATTCATTAACAAGTGGTTTGCATCCGCTGAGAAGAGCTGTCTGAAATAGCAGTGTCACAGCATTCATCATCATTACATCAGCAGTAGGGAAGTTCATACTGATTGCTATCAGCAACCAGAGTGCCCCAATCAGCGTGCAAGCAAACATAGCATGTTTAATTTTTCAGAAATGACTCTGGGTAGTTAGCGT